GTCGCCCCGCAGCACGCCCACGCGCCGCACCACAGTGTCCTGCCAGCCAGGGTTCGGGGAGACGCTGAGCAGGAAGAGGCGGGGGCGACGAGCCAAGATTGGTTGTGTCCACTGGGGTAGCAGGAGGTGTGCGCAGGGAGGCGTACTCAGGGAGGCAAAGGCCGGCCCTGGTGGGGGCAGGGGTGTCTACTGCATATTCACCCGGGCAGAGTGGGAAGCACCATTCGCGGAGAATGTCTGAAAGTCCGCCTCAGTGTTCTGTCCTCCTAGTGGAGGTACCGCTGCAGAGGGACGGCAAGAGAAGGGGGTAGTTCTAGGATATGGATTCTTTTCTCCTTAGTGGGAGGGAGGCTGCTGGGACCTGAAGGCACAGAAGAATGCTGTTTGCTTGCCGGGACTTTAGTGGGTAGACGGTGAAAGTTTTCTTAAATACGCCACACTTTTCTTCCAGGAACTCCTAGTTCAACAGGCAGAGGGCAAAGAATAAAACTTTGAGCGGGTGTGGTGGCTCACGCCTGTAATACCAGCGACTTAGGAAGATGAAGCAGGAGGATCACTAGTGCAAGGTCGGCCTCACCAAGTTAGCAGCCCCTCGGCAACTTGGAGACCCTGTCTAAAACTAAAAAGAAAAAATAGAAAAGTAGCTGCTGGAGTGCAGCTCAGTGCCCCTGGGATCCCTGGGCTCAATTCCTGGAATAGAAAGAAAGAAAAGGGAGGGAGGGAGAGAGGGAGGCAAGGAAAGAAACCCTTGAATCCATTTCCTAATGGAGCCACAACCTCTGCTCACTCCCTTCCCCAACTTTTTCAGGAGCCATGGGGGCTATTAAAGTGAAGGGACCTGGGCTGGGTGTTGTGGCTCAGTGGTGGAGCGCTGACCTAGCACTGGGTTCAATCCTTAGCACTACATAAAAAATAAATGGGTGAAGTAAAGGTATTGTGTCCATCTACAACACACACACACACACACACACACACACACACACACACACAGAGGGAGACCTGGTTTCTAAAAGCATTGTCTGAACTATCAGCATTCTCAATTCAGGCTATCTCTAGGCACTGAATTCCAATTTCAGAGGTTCTCAAATTCACCAAAAAGAATTGTATCACAGGAAGAAGTTCTATTGTGCCAGTGACGTGTGAACAGTGACTTTCTCACAAACATTACTGTGTGTGTGTCACCTGTCACTGCCAGTATCACCCACTGCAGAGGCTGGCTGAGGTGCAGGACTTCACTAGGGATGGTGTTAGGAATATTAATGCAACCCAACTCCACCACCTAATAACCCAATTTTTCTTCACCTCTCCACACACTTCATCCTTTCCTAAATTATTTCTAAGACAGCTGGTGCTTGCTTCCCTGATAACCAACACCCTACTGAACCCTGAGGTCCCAGATTAAAAGGCATTTGATTCCAGTGAACATCTGGGGGCAAACTGAAGTTTGTGCACACAGGAGTAGTGCATCTGGAAGGTCCAACACAGCTTCAAGTGGTTAAGTGACCACGTTCTACTTCTGACCCTTCTGTAAAGTGGAACAATAATCCCTCTTGGAGGTGTATTTTAAGGATCAAACAGAAATAGAAAAAATGTTTTTGTTTTAATACTGGGGATTGAACCCCATAGCACTCTACCACTCAGCTACATCTTTTGCCCTTTTTACTTTTAGTTTTTTTTGTTTTTTTTTTTTTTTTTTTTTAGTGTAGTTGGACGCAATACCTTTATTTTATTTATTTATTTTTATGTGCTGCTGAGGATTGAACCCAAGGCCTACACATGCTAGGCGAGTGCTCCACGGCTAAGCCACAACCCCAGCCCTTTCTATCCTTTTAAAACAGGGTTTACAAAGTTGTCCATGCTGGCCTTGAACTTATGATCCTCCTGCCTCAGGCCCCAGAGTAACCAGGATACAGGTGTGTCACTGTGCCTGGCTTTTATTTTTTAGGGTGTTAAAGCCAGAATGCAGGGCCTTGTAAATGCTAAGCTGAGCTATACCTTCCACCCTGGAATTGAGAAATCTTTGCAAACCGCAGAATACCATTTCAGTTTTAAGCATTTTTATTAGGCTATTACATGTTTATAAGGGGGTGGTGTTGGGAGGAGACATCAGCTCTGGTTAATTAGGCAGAACCTTCCTGTGCAAATGTTCTGGGACTGGGGCTATTGAGGGACTCTCCATAGCTTTGGGAATCCAAGGTATAGTCAGAGGTAGAAAAAAAAGATGTCCTGGTTTAAATCCCCAGTACCATACAAAAGAAGGAAGGAAAATAAATGGTAGGGATATTCTGAACTAAGGCCAAGTCTTTCATAGTTAAACTCATCTGAAAGATGTGACCAAAGAGGAAAAACCAGAGTTCTGATTGTGGAATGATAGAGTTGTTTGGTATCTTACAAATCATTTAGTGTGTCTCCCAACATATTTTATGGATTGAGAAGCTGAGGCCCACAACAGGACTTAGTACTGAGGGGTGGCCTCTCTGCTCATCTTCTGCAGTACAGCAGAGAAAACAATGACTAAAGCCACGTGCAGTGGTATGTGCCTGTAGTGCCACTACAGGCCTAGCAGAAGGAGGCTGAGACAGGAAGATCACTTGGGTCCAGGAGTCGGGAGGTCAGCCTGGCAACAGGGTGAGGCCCTATTTCAAAAAAATACACCTAGTAGCTTGGGAGGCCGAGGCAAGAGGACTGCACGTTCAAAGCCAGTCTCAGCAACTTAGCAAGGCCCTAAGAATTTAGGGAGACCCTGTTTAAAATTAAAAATAAAAAGAGGTGGGGAGTGGTTCAGTGGTTAAGTGCCCCTGAGTTCAATCCCTGGTACCAAAAAAAAAAAAAAAAAAAAAATCAACAACAAAAAAATAATGGACAAGAATGTTTGAGTTTTTAGAACAGAATGCAGCCTTGGGTGAGTACTTAGCTTCTCTGTGCCTTTCTCCTCAATTACAAAATTAGTTTAACAGTAGTACTTACCTGGTGAAGTCATGAGATTAAATTAGGCAACAAAGGAGGACTGAGAGTGTAACTCAGTGACAGAGCTCAGGATCCTAATGTACAAGGCTAGCACCAAAAATAAATGAATAAAGTAGGCAACATTAAAGTTTCTGCTTGTCGGTGTCTGGCATAGTTAGTACTCAATAAATGTTATGCTTATTTTTATCCTGTGGACCTCATCTGCCTTAGGTATAAATTGAAAATGTATATCACTGATTCTTCTGGGGAATTTGCTTCCTCTTTTCCCCCATGAGTTGCATGAGAACATTAGGGACCTTTTTCTAATGCCCATACTTAGCAGACTTTTACTCTACCCGCTAAAGCAGGGTTTTCAAATGATACCTCCATAGAATGTCCAGGCATAGTTTGTCAAGATGAAGATTCCAGGGTCCCAGTGATTCTGAAAGTAGGTTCAAAGTTGGCCCCAGGAATTCCAAGTTTTAACAGATGCTTGACACAAGGAGTCTATAGATTCTGTGCAATGGGTGGAGGAACCCCTTAAAATTCTCATTTCCGGAGAACATAAAAGCTAACATATCCCATTTGTTAGTGGACCACAGGATATCTACTAACTTGGACATTCTATGATTCTCAAGAGGAATTCATTCTCTTTACCCCCAGCATAAGCACTGCTATCCACCTAATTCTGCTCTGTCCTACCTTTCTCCTCCTCTTCTAACTGTAAACCCTGGCTTAAAATTCATTCCTATGTCCTTTAAATCTCTTGATAATCCCAAGTAGCAGCAGCTGAGGTATGCAAGTCATGATTTTCACCTCTTGGGACCTAGCTAAAAGGGGCATCCTATGATTGCCAGAAGAGTATGAGCCCTAGCTGCAGATTCATCAATTATTTACAGAAAAGCCAGGAATCATAATGGGCCAGATCAAACAGGTAATTCAGTCTGTTTCAGTGTCTTCCTTTTGCCAAGGGAGCAATCCCTTTAAAATAAGAGCAAGGCAGAAAGGCCAACTCCCCACTTCTCCCAAGACGTGCACATTTCCTGTTGTAAAGGTTCTAAATCCATTAAACTGGATCTCTGGGACAGGTAAGTTTTTATTGTTTTGGTACTAGGGATTCTACCACTAAGCTATATCTCTAGCACCTTTTTATTTTAAGACAGTCTGGCCTCAGCCTTCCAAGTCACTAGCATTACAGGAGTGTACCACCACACCTGACTAGGTAATTTATTTTTATCTTGGACAGTTTTTGGCTGTCCTGAGGAACCTAGAACTTTGAGTATCTTAAGGGATGTTAGTATAATTGTCAGAAGGATAAAGTAGAATACCTGTGTTGTATCCACTATCCTTAATCCCTGTTCAACTATTAAACTCCCTGGGAGACACTGTGGCTGAGGACAGGACCTGTTGAGAAGTTCTACAAAAAGAACTGACTTGTCTTGTAACGGGAGACATCATGAAGCAGAAGGGAGAAGGTAGGTAGGGTACTGGAAATGGGAAGAAAATGGCTAGAGTGGGCAATCCAAAAGGCTAGAGTGGGGACTCCCAAGAGCAAACCAGTTGGGATACTTATGCCTTGGCTGTAGTCACAACATAAATGATAATTAGCATCATCAATTATGAATGAATAGCATCAATCTCAGGAACCTACAGATGGGTTCATCTTAGGAAGAGGAAGTTTATTCTGTGCTGTCTGGCCTCTGCCCAAGGTCTGGTACCATACCTGTCTTCAAGATCACAGTTCAGAAGGGCTAGGGCAGTTATGGAAGAGATGGCAGAAAACATAGCTAGGGACTGAGGGAAGACCAACAATTTTTAGGAATCAGGATGGAGGTATCAGGATCTCTTCCAAAATTTCTCAGATGTAAGTTCTTCTAATTCACTCACCAATGCCTCCTTTCCTTCAGTTTGGGACTGAAGACTTCCACCAAAAACATATGACTGTACATGAGCCCCAGCCTGTCTTAGGGCTCATGACAGGAAGTACTACCGTCCTTGGTTCTGCTGGGGAGGTTGTGTGGATGGCTAAACTTCAATTGTAAAAAGAAAGATGCTTAAAATCCAAACCACTGCTTTATTGTGTGGCACTCAACAGTGGTGCCCACCCTGCTTTTCCCAAGTTATCCTCTCATCCAGGGCTTTCTGGCCTTTTGAATATCAAAATCCAGTATGGTGTCTTGTTCCCCTTTCTCCGGTGCAGGGGAGGGTTCATACAGAGTCCTGAGAACTGACAGTTCTTTCTTTAAGTGGTCATGGTGAAGAGCATGTTAGCACAGTGGAGGTCCCAGGGTGGGAGAAATAATGGGGAGAGCATAGGTTACAAAGGCTGCCCCAAGAGCGGGTGGGAAATGTAAAGGCAGAAGCATTTATTGAGCTTTCACCCTGCAAACTGGTCCAAGAATTTAAGGTAGGCCTGGCGCTGGGATGCAGCTGCTGGAATGAAGTGGCCACCAGAGTGAGTGAGGGTGATGGCTCCAGGGAACTGGTTAGCCAGCTGTACACTCTCCTGAGAGGGGATGACACGATCAGTGTCCCCGAAAACATGAAGTGAAGGCATTGACAAATTGCTCTGCAGGATGGGTTCCTTGAGGCCATGGCCCCTGGGACAGAAACCAGATACGAGGATGATAAATCGGGGCAAAGGGAAGCGCAGGTCGCCCGCTTGGCCCAGGGCACACACAAGGGCTGCTAGTGCAGCCCCCTGGCTGAACCCAAGAAGTCCATCAAAAGGCCCCAGCTTGCTCAGTGTCTGTGCCACCGTTTCCAGAGATTCCTCCAGACCTCTGCACACCGTGGGCTCTTCCAGTGCGGAGAAAACGTCTGCCTCCTTTTCGGAAAACCACCAGCCTCGAGGCTGCTCCTCAGGAGGGCAGGAACCTACGGGCATAAGGGGGAAGAGAATGGAATTAGGGCAACGGGGAGGGGAGTGAGGAAGGAAGGGAGGGTATGGAAATAAATAACAGGGAAAAAGGTGACTAAGGAGAGAGCGACGGTGGAGACCGAAGGAAGGGGAGGGAAAGGGAAGGGGCATACGGAAAGGGGTTGAGGGGACCAAGCAAAAAGACCCTGTGAGGGCATTTCCGGAGCTGAGCTCGGCTCACCGGAGTCTGGACCCCCGCCCTCGGGGCCCTCCGCCGAGGTGACCGAGTGCGGGCCGCTGAGGCACACGAGCTCGGCGCGGCCCCGGAGCGCCTTCCTCAGCGCTCCAGTCTTCTCTCGAAAGCCCCGCTCGCTCTGCCGGAAGCCAGCCAAACACAAGACCCGTAAAGGTTGCCGACTAGCCATGCTGCCCGGCAGTGGGCCATAGGAACACCGGAAGTAAGTTTTCCCCGAGCGGAAGTAGAATACGCGAGGGGGCGGGACCAAATGGCTATACCACCCTGAAGGCGGGTCTCGGAGAGAACGGCTCCCATGACAACAGAGATGAGTGGGGCGCGGCCAAAGTAGGGCGGATACCTGGGAACCAGGGGCGTCTCAAGGAGCCAGGGACGCCACCCCGTCTCTGCAGCTGCACCCCTCGCAATCCGCGGCTGGAGAGGGGAGCGTGGACACCTCCTGCACCTAAGGTTGCAGACTTAGATCAGAGTCTCGCTTCCACCACAACCTCCACCCCGCGCCGGTGCATTTCCCATCGTGGCCACATGGCGGCGGCCTCGGCTCACGGTACCAGGAAGGGGGCCAGAGCCAAGGCCGCGCCCAAAGGCTCGCACTCTTCCCTCCTTGAAGTCCTGGCCTACCTTCCCGGAAGCTGAGCGGCTGGGGCCTTGGGAGTTTAGGTCTGGCCGGTGATTCACCGTCCAAAGCCCCAAGGAGTTGCCAGCGTAGAAGTCCATGGGGTAGGGCTGCTGCCAGGAAATGTTCCTGAGGGCCACGGCTGCCTAGTGGAGGAAAACCGGACAATAACATTTGCTGATATTTTTCTGCTCCTGGATCATTAAATCACTCCTCACGACAGCATAGGAAGGGTGTATTATTCCCATACTGTAGAAAGGAAATGTGAGGCTCAGAGTGGTTAAGGAACGTGTCTAAGGTCACACAACAAAGACTGCTAAGCAATTCAAGAGTGTCTGATGGGCCAGTGGTAAAGCACTTGCCCAGCATGCATGAGGCACTGGGTTCGATTCCCGGCACCACATAAAAATAAAAACAAATAAAATAAAGGTATTATGTCCATCTACAACTAAGAAAAATAGCTTAAAAAAAGAGTGCCTGACTTCAGAACCTATGAACTATTGCTGTCCATCCACCCCAATCCAACTTTGAGCCCTCCCTTGACTGAAGAAGGTACACAAGTTTTTCTCCCACAAGTTTTCAAAACCTGGTGTTACCTCATAGGGTGTAAGCAGTGGTTTAGAGAAGGCTGTACCCCAGTCAATGGAGAGGCGTGGACACGCCACCTGCACCCACCTGGAGAGGGAAGCCAAGTCACACTGAGAGGGGAAGCATGCTGAAGAACATGATTGTCCCCAATATACCCAACAGTCAATAGGGTTTATTAATCCTAATGTAAAGATTCACCTACCACTATTTAGATGCTGGACACTGTTGCTTATTTTCTCCTATTTCCTCCATTGACTATAAACTTTCTGAGGGAAACTCATTTGTAATAGTATTCTAAGGTTGGCCCCGAGGAAGGCCAGGTAGGTAAGGTGGGGAAACTTACACATCTACCTCAGGAAGTAGGTTGAGCTTGCTGGGGAATATCTCAGACAGCAGCAGCCTCACAAAAGGAAGTCCCAAGGCTTGGAGTTGAGATTCCAAGTACTGTTGGGAGAGGAAGGCTGAGTTGGGGTACTCATAATCAAGCAGTCAAAGCTGACTCCCTGGGCCTATAGGTTTTCCCATATGGGTTTCCAGTCAGTCCCTCCTCAAGAGGCCACCCTAAGCCCTCTTACCTCCAAGATTTTAGGACTGCCTTGGCGGCCCAAAGTGCCCAGAATAAGGCCCCAAGATTTGGCGGAGCGGGCAGTGGCTATGGCTTCCTGCCGAGTGGTCTGCATGCGCTGGTGGTCGTAGTGCTCTCTGGATAGGACTTTGCTGTATGGGTCATACCTGTAAAAGAAGCTTGCCAGAATTACTGTGACAGTCACTCCCAGGATTCCTGCTATTTACATGGCTCCCAACTCAGGCCCCAGACAGAACAGGGATTGTCACTGGGACAATCAGTCCCATAGCTGGAGCACGCAAGAGATGGGGAGTATATTAGGATCTCAGTGTGAATCCTAGGCGGGCAAGAGCAGCCCTGGGTCTAATGCCAGATGAAGGACCCAAGTGCCTCAGACCCTTAGGACTGAGGCTGGTAAGTGGCTAAGGAATAAGGAAATTTTGGCCCTTTGAGGGCCTCAGGGACAAAGAACTTCACCCCTCAATAACTAGTCAGCCCAGCCCAGCACATACCGGTAAGCAGGGACATTGGGGTTGGCAATCATGACAGACTCCAGATGGAAGCGACCATCTCCAAGATACCTATGGGGTGGAAAAGGCTGTAAGTGTGGCATGGGGTAGCAGGAGAGGCACTCTGGCTTAGAAACACAGGCCTGAATTCTCAGCTAGCTGTTCATGCAGCTATATATAAACTAGACAAGTCGTCATTTTACCTCTTGGGGCCTTGGTTTTCTCTCATGTAAAATAAGAAGCTTGAAGTGGACAACTGTAAGACCATGGTATATAATGCAGAATCAAGAACTGCTCTACCCCAGCCTTCGGAGGAAGAGTAAAAAAGCAGCAGAGGACATGGCAAGGCTTCCCAGGCTCTAGACAGCCTAATTTGGAAGCAGAGGGACACATTCTTCCTGACCAAGCTCAATACAGATGTGGAAAGTAGTGACCAGGGAGTCACATAGGCTATACATGAGATTCCAGAATATACACTGGCTACTCTGCCCAGACCGGCTCTTGGGTCCAGGTACTGAGTGGTAGTAACAGCTATTATTTCTTGGACTTGTGCTTTCTGTGCTCTAGGCCTGGACTAAGTGCCTGATGTGTATGAGCTCACTCAGTTCTATCAAACAATCCTCTAAGATAACTACAGTGTCCGTATTTAACAGAACATACAACTGAGGTTCAAGGATGTTAAGACACTTGCCCAAAGTTATGCAGCTCGTAAGCGAGGTATAACCACAGGCTGTACCAAGCATGCCCTAGAAGATGCTGTCCAACAGTACCTTCCTAGGCCATGCAGATTCCCAGAGCATGGAAGAAAACAGGCCATGGCAGTGATTCTCTCCTTCTTGGAGACCATACCTCATTTTGGTAACTGGTTGACACTGAGAGTGTCCCTCCCTCAATCCACATCTTGAAGCCCCCAAGGGCATCAGCTCAGAGTTATACAGGCCCAGGCACAAGAGTAATGCCCCTCAGTAAGCAGGACTGCCAGGTCTGAGCTGGGAAAGGCCTGGATGTGGACCTGTCTATGGATATGGGTGTCCTGTGTGCATGCAGCAGGCCTGTGGGACAAGCATCCAATGCAAGGGTGGGGCTGAGTCAGTACCCCTCCCTCCTTCTCCACCATTAGCTAGGAAACAGGGTTCCCCTCCCCAGTCCCAGCCGGGGAAGCTGTCGGCTCTGAGGCTGGCTGCATTCACACAACATTAAGCATTTCCATTACCTAAAATAATTAGGCAGCAGGAGACATGCTGCTCCTGCTTGTTAGCTGTCCGGATGCTAAATTAATGGGGCTGCAGCCTGGGTGTGCCCATCCATCTTCTCCAATTATATTGCCACCATTTCTAGCCCACCCTCCTCCCCCTATCAGACCCTCTGATTCTTGTCCCCCCTCAGGCATAGCCTTCAGCAGTGGAGAGGGACAGAAAACATGAAGGCTATAGCATCCCTATTTGGTCCCATCTTGCAGAGTGACCTTGGGCACACAGGTAAGGAGCTTTAGACCCAGTTTCCTTTTCCTATATGATGAACCTTCCTGGGTACACACACACACACACACACACACACACACACACACACATATATATATTAGATGAACATAATACCTTTGTTTATTTATTTATTTAGGTATCAGGGATTGAACTCAGGGGCACTTGATCACTGAGCCACATCCCCAGCCCTATTTTGTATTTTACTTAGAGACAGGGTCTCACTGAGTTGCTTAGCGCCTTGCCACTGCTGAGGCTGGCTTTGAACTCGAGATCCTCCTGTCTCAGCCTCCCCAGCCACTGGGATTATAGATGTGCCCCACCATGCCTGGCTATTTATTTTATGTGGTGCTGAGGATGGAAACCAGTGCCTCACACGTGCTAGGCAAGTGTTCTACCACTGAGTTACAACTCCAGCCCCACCTGGGTACACTTCTAATGTCTCTATGATGTGGCCCCCAGTTTTACTTACACAATGGCTTCCACCTCCTTTGGCAGTCGGGGGGATGTACAGCCCAGAATCTCCCCAGGAGACAGGGGTTTGCACTGTGGGACAGTCATACGATATTCAGCTTTCAATTCTTGGGCAGCTGACTGTAGGGATGAGGGAAGAAAGCAAGTGGCTAGGGAAGGAGCCAGGGCACCTGTCATGGAGATCCAGAAACAGCCTAGAGAGTGGCTGTCTGTCCCACAGGATGCTGGGGACCTTTGTCCCACTTACCTGCAAAGTTGATACAAACTGAATGGTGCTGACCAGGGCAAGGGCACTGGCTGGGGGAAAGGTGAGGCGGATAGAGTCCAGGAAGTGGGTAGTGTCTATCCGGATGTCCACAAAGACATACAGTACCCGGAAGTCTTGGATAGAGGTGTCCATGGGAACTGAGGGTAAAGAGTTCAGGAAACTGTTTGAAAAGCAGGAAGGACAGAGAACCTGGCTTGGTCCCTGTTTTCTAAGCAGCCAGGACCAGGGTTTCAGCCTGGGAGAATGAGAGGGGAGGGAAGGAAGGGGTCACAGGTCCCCTAGAAGCTCCTTCTCTGTCACTCAGGTGGGGGCCCAGCCTGCTCTACCACCAAGAGCCTTTCAAACACCCGCATCTGGGACAGCAGCATGGTTTCCAAGGCAACCATAACCAAAGGAAAGAGACACCTGCAGAGCAGGAAGGCCAAGGCCATCCCAGAAAGTAGGAGGGTCCTCATGACTGCAAGTGGGACAAGAAGGTACTATACTGGAGATCAGTGTGGATCTGGCCTCCCTGCCAGTTTCCATATTTCTTGCCCTGTTATACCAAGGCAGCTGTGGCCATAGTGCACCAAGAAGTCAGCTCCCAGGGCTCTTGCAGTAAAGTCATCCACACAGCAAGCTCCATAGGTGACATCACCCATCACCATCACTTCGGCCTCTGTGAACCTGTAGGGGTAAGGGTGAGGAACAATGGGGCAGTGACACAAAGAATAAGGTAGGGGAGAGTCCTAACTCTGTGGAGGTGTCCCAGGGCCCAGCTCCTCTCTCCCCACCTCTTTCAATTCCTTG